GAGGAACCTGATGGCTTAGGCCTTCTTGCGATGAGTGATTGCAGTTGGTTGATAATCTCCTCCAACCTCCGGCCAATGCTCTCCAATTGTCTTTCAGTTCTGTTAACTCATTGCTCCAATTGCTCCATACCGACATCCAGGAACAGTTGCTCTGATACCAGATTGTTATCAGAGTTCTTCGGTTGGTGCACGAAAACCTATCGTCACCTTTCGAGCTATAGTGAATTATCAGCTCAAGAAGGAAGAATAGAAATAAAATAACAGGGATAATTCTCATTGATTGATATCAAGCAAGCGATCCCACTTAAATACACTTGAGGAAGGTTTTTATAACCAATTGTTCTCTGTACACTAAGGAGATATTTATTACAATCAAAGACTACACTGAGCTGGTAGGTGGTTACGCTATAGATGCGTGTCCTCACATGCATGGCTTCACTTATCACCTGGCCCATTATGAGGCTGGAACATGGGCTGGGCCTGAGGGCCTATGGGGATATGCACCATATTGCAACCCTTCCATTCAACCATCATCCTTATAGTTGTTCTTTTATTTTTATACTAAGGAGATCTTTATAGGCTACCCATCTTGCTTAACATAAAACACATGCATGAATTCAGGGCAATTGGTGAAGGGTTCAAGTGAAATTGCACATTGAATCCGAATTCACCTGCATCAATGAAGGTCTTCGAGTACCATTCAAATGTTGGATGTTGTGACGTCATCCTTCTTTATACGGTACTCATTGAAGCAAGTTCTTTTCAAGGTGATGGATCGATGTTATAGATTTGACATGAAAGGAGAACTGTCATTGTTTCCACTATTTGGTAACGCCATTATTTTTGTGGATGAGAATAATCGCTAATTTAAATATACTATGAACTAGCTGAAACTCCATATACACTAGAGCTGTAACTTACACAACAATTATCCAAGCCTTGGTTCTTTGGACAAGTATTTGTACTCGATTTTTTCCAGTAACGAAGGGAAAGTCCCAAAATAATGGTAGCATTGCATTTTGCCCATTTCCCTAATTAGAGCTTCACATCATAGCACCCGAGTAGAAAATCAATTCATGTCAAATGGAAGGAAGGACTGGTCCGGTGTGAGGAAGGCAATGGATAGTAACCTCCCAACTAGAAACCAGGTGGTAATGGATGTTTACTCTTAATTGTACTCAACCATTTTAAATGATGAGGCAAAGTATGATTTGATCAATCCACGTAAGAATGGACCAATGAGTCCATAGGATGCAAGTTCATAAACTAATTGTATTGGCATATTCAGTGTTCAACAAAGGTGTCACAATTAAGGAGTTTGCAACACCATTCCCTTCGCAATAAATGTGATTAATGCTCCACATAACATATACCAATTCCTTATGAATTGCATATTGAATATACTACATTTGCTAGGGCCAATCATTAGAACCATGCATGATATCCATCATAACTTTAGAATTAGTTCTAGTGACTATATTATGTAACCTTTAAACACAACACAGTTTGTCTAGGAATTATCAAGATTAGTGCTCTTGGGGATAACACGGGCGAACCTCCAAGTTATAGACCTTCCTTTGTTTTCATCTTGTCTTCTTCTTTCTCACCATTTCCTTTCAATTTGGATTGGATCCCCTTGTTATTGATATTCCTCTAAAAGCCCCCTCTCTGAAACAGGGATAACCTATTTTTTTATTCTCTAAGGCTTATTTGAAGAAATCTCTTGCACCTCTCAAGTTTGATCTAGTTGGGAAGTGTGTTCATGGCCACCCTCTTATGCCTAAGAGTAGGAAGTTTCTTGTTTGAGTTTAATTTCAAGATCTCTGATGGTGTGGTGGTGACTACAACTGATTCTAGATATATTCTGATCACGGTTGTAGACAAAAACGAATATTTGAGGGTTTGAATGAAATAATCTTTTAGAATTAAAGATTTCCTATTCTATCTTCTCAAGTGGGTGCCTAGAATGAAATTGGGGTGGGATCCCTTTATGGTTCCATCTTGGATCACTTTTTCTCTACTCCTAATCAATCTATACAGTGATAGATATTTGAGATTGATTGTATAGGTTGTTGGAAGAGCTCTGAAGGTGGATGTATTAACTTCTAGATTGATGAGAACCATTGTAGCCAAGGTTTCTAAGAGATCGATTTATTTAAGGGTCTACCATCTAGGGTTTGGATTGGGCTTGAGAAGGATGGCTATTGGTAGAAGACTGTTTATGAAGAGCTTCCTAAATATTGCACTTTTTGGTGCAAACATGGCCATGAAGAAGTTGAGTGCCATATGAGGAAGAAGAAAGAAAATTCGGCTAAGCTGAGTATTGGACCTATATAGGATGTGCACCTCGTACAACAAAATAAAGGTGCTACCTCTTCTATAAGTGATGCAAATCAAGAAAAGGTTCAAGACAAATAGATTCCCAACGGTTCTAATAAGCCCAGTAGTGACAAAGCCCTGGTGATTGGATTAGAGTTTAGCCCACTAGTAATTACATTACTACTATCATCATCATCATCATCATCATCATTTAAAATTGCCACATGCCAAGTGCATGCACATTTGGTAGTTCTTCTATCATTTTCTACTTGCACCAAGTTTCTTCTTATTGGTATGGTCAATAGTTGTCTATATACACGCTCAAATCATATCAATTAACTCTTTCTCATATTATATGATCATTTCTAATTCTGTCCATTTTAATCTTGCTACTTGTCCATCCCAATATCCTCATATCAGGTATGTTCATTTTTTCTCTTAATTGTTTATTGCTTTATTTTGTATGAAAATGTTGCACACCAAAGCTATAAATGTTATAGCTTTTGTTTATGAAAATCAAAATATAACTAGTCAAGACCCATGCGATGCACAAACTTTATTTATAAAAAAATAATAGTGTCCATCTAAGTTCAATTCAAGTATCATTTTTTGGGGTTATGTCTAGTTTATCCAATCACAATCTAAGTTGCTCTTTAGCGAGAGTGGCCAATTTCCTATTCTCTAGATAAATTTGTATTATTTTTTATTTCTTGCTAACTTTTATTAATTTTTTGGAATATTTTTATTAATTTTTATTGGTATATTATTAATTTTGTATTATATTTAGGTAAATTTTAAAAAATCATCATCTTCTAACAATTCTATAAACCACCTTTGTGTTTTGACCCTAACAAAGGCCTCCCCAATAATTTTGGAAAAAAAAGTGCAAATACCTCCTTTCCCTTAACTCTTCAGTAACAAAGACATCAAAGTCACCAAAATACCCTTATCATTTTTGATGCATTATCATACATAATTTAAAGTTTCAACTTTACCCTCCACTAATCTATTTTTCTAGACAACTTTCAAAGAACAATTCTCCTTACTCTCCTTAGACAAATGTAAAAAGGCTGAAGGGAAGTAAAATTAATGCATTACATGAACATTTTTTATTTGGAATGCTAATTAAACGAAGGTATTTGCACCTTTTTTCAAAACAATAGGGGGGGTTTTTGTTATGGTCAAAACACTAGGGAGTTTTATTAGGGGTGCCCATGGTTCGATTAACTGAACTGTGGACCTATTTTTGAAACTGAATAGGGGTTACCAGTTTTTGGAAAACCGATAACTGAAATCAAACCAAAGCTGATCAACTAACTGGATGATCGATTCGGTTAACCATCGGTTTGGTTTGTTGGCTTTTTGGTTTTTTACATTTATAATATATTATAAATATATATATATATATATAATATTTTAAGTAATAAATAATATATTATGTATTATAAATATATATTTATATGTAATGCATATTTATTAATTTATAATACATAGAAAATATAAAATATATATAAAAAAAATATATAATATACATAAATATATGTAAAATATATGTATACCGGTCGATTTGATTTCGATTGGTTTTTTGGCTGGGTTTGTCGGCTTTTCTTTCTTACTCTAAGTTTCATAGGATTGTTAGAAAACCCAAGGAGTTTTTTATAATTTTCCTTATTTTTAAATGAATTTTAAATTTATTTAAAACTTATATTTTATATTAATTTTTAAAATTAGTAAAAAATGAATTTATTTAAGTATAATAATTTTTTATTAAATTTAAATTCCTTATGAAATTTAATTAAATATATAAATTTTTTCATTTTTAGTGGAACTTAATTTGGTTTTGATTTAATAAAATTTAATTATAAAACTAATAATTGTTAGATAATTTTGTATTAGTTTTATATCAATTTTAAATTGACATTCATTTTTAATTTATCTTATTCCTTTCATTAATTAAATTCTTTTTATTATATCAATAAAGATATTTTATCAATAACAATAATTAATAATTATTTTTATTTTATTTAAGTAACCTACTAATTTTTTTATTATGGTTAATTATTTTTATTATTTTCAAATAGAATATAAATGGATTATAATTTTAAATGGAAATTGATTATTTAGTGCAATAATATATCCTTGAATATCTCGATTTCAATATAATTAAWCTTTAATGATAATTAAAGTTTAATGCAAATATAGATAAAGTTAATGAATTTTATGCAATTTAATGGAGTAGGGGAGAGTTAATGGCATAATTAATGATGAGAGATTATTAAAAGAGTTAACGGGGGGGGGGAGTTAATGGCATTTTAATGAAGAATGTTAAAACTCTTAAAGGTGATTGGTCACTTAAGTTATTTTGTAAAATTTTAAAATTAGAAAATTCAAAAAATCAGAAAAAAGATAGGTTCCTTTGAGAAGAAACCAGAAAAGAGATAAATGGCTTTTAGAACAAACCATAGAGCAGAAAAGTGTTAGCTTGACACATTGCATTTTAATATATAGATATAGATGGTGTACCTTATATTTATGGCTTCAATATTTTATGATATTAGTCTTGCAGAATGAGTACAAGAATTGCAACATCATTGAACTACAATTCCATTTCCCTTGATGATTTATTAATTAAGCTAGAAAATATGATTTAGGAAAAGTCCACTCCTGAATTTTCTTGAAACTTGAATAACATTAGAAATGTAACGTTCCATGCCCCATCATGGGTATGAAAGTTTCATTAACCTGGCATGAGATTCTACAATAGACAAGCTAAGCCAATGTAATATAACCTATGTATAGTGGTTTAAGTTGATGCTGTCTTTAACCCWCAAAGAAAATAAGGCTTTAATTTCCAACTTTACTTTAAATTACATTAGTGGCCAGATATCATGTGTTTTTTCTTTTATTTTTATTTTTGTAAATGCCACATATCATGTTCATGAGAATACACTACAAGAGTAATCTTCGAAGCACAACTTCTATCGAGGGTGTAATTCGGTAATTGATACATTATTTGTAGACAGTAGTGGCTTACTTGTGGATGACTCAGTTGTCGATGAATAATGCTCTCTAGGAGGCAAGTCTCCCTCTCTTGTAGTAGGGATGAAAAAGGCTGGCGCTGAAGGTATGGGTAAATTTTCAGAGTTGCAACTGAGCATGTGAACAACCGATGCCATAGTTGGCCTGTCAACTGTGTTTTCTTGAACACATAATAGTCCAATATGAATGCATCGCAACACTTCATGTCCAGAGTAATTATTGATCAGAGTCGTATCCATCAACTCTAATAACGTTCCTTCATTCCAGTATCTCCATGCCTGCAAAAATTAATCAAATCATACATTAATTTAGTTGTTAGTATTTAGTCATTATTTTCATTTGTTTTATATAATAATATTTATCTTTAACCTTAACATTATATATGTCTATGTTTCTATGCTTACATGGCTAAGAAGATTTTCTGAACTTTCTGACTGATGGGAGTAGTTATTCTTCTTTCCACTAACAATTTCTAGTAGTAGCACACCGAAACTAAATACATCTGACTTAACTGAGAAGTGCCCATGCATTGCATACTCTGGGGCCATGTATCCACTGCATTTCATCTTAGTGTAATTAGTCATACTTTGGAAGATAAGAAAAACTTACCAAGGTCATAGCTGAACAATTAAATGTATATAAATTAATGACCACCCCCCCCCCCCCMAAAAAAAAAAAAAACAAAATTATTAAAAAAAGGAGAAATGATCGACTTACTAAGTTCCAACAATTCGACTTGTATTTGCTTGAGTTTGATCAACTACAAAAAGCCTTGCCATGCCAAAATCTGAAATTTTTGGGTTCATCTCATCATCTAAAAGAATGTTGCTAGCTTTAAGATCTCGATGGATAATTTTAATTCTAGAATCTTCATGAAGATAAAGAAGTCCTCGAGCAATGCCTCTTATGATCTTGTGCCGTGTGCTCCAATTTAATTGACTACATTTGGTTGGATCTAGAAAAGAAAATGAAAATATGGATCAATATAGATTTTAGGAAGTAACTATTAATGAGATTATTAATTATGCATTTAACATCAAGAAGGCCTTCAATAATGGGATATGATGAAAGACTGAATCTAGATCTTAAAAGCAGCCAAAATTCTATTCAAATGAATTCAAAATCATCAAGGAAACTATGCGAATATGGGATGTAAACCTGTTTGCAATCCTTTAGGCTGCGTTTGGAAACGATGTAAATAAATGTAAATGCAAATATGTAGAGTATAAAGCGATTCATATAAATTATAAAGTTGGGTTAGTTTTTCACTGAAAACAAATCTTTAGTTTTAATGGATGCAAACACGAATTCCAATAAAGCATATGCCTTTTTTTTTATCAAAAGTCCACTTAAATGCAAATTTATGTACTTTACATCTTATTATCAATGTAAATATGCATTGGAAAATGTGTTTTCTGTCATTTGTCAATGCACAAATATAGTATTGTCAAACACATGTAAAAGTGAACCAGAATGCAAATTTACCCTGAACCAGGATTTACACTCCATTTGCATCATTTCCAAACACATCCTTAAGTCCAAAAACATAATCGGAAGTGGGTTCTCTCCTCTATACTCTTTTCCCTCATGTAAAGATCAAAATGAGAAATTCTTTCTCTTCATTGTGTGTAAGAGGAGGGACTAACATCTCTTATATAGAGCTTTCATATTAAATAATACATTAATTAAAGTTGTGCATTTCTATATAGCACTATGCTTTCTTTATGCAATTTATTTTAGTTACTTTTTCAGAATAATACTAATTTTTTTTTTTATCAAAACAAAAGTGATTTTTAAGACTACATGAAGAAATTCTTATTCTCTCACTTGGTCTGCAAAAGCTCACCCTTTTTGTTCAAAAAATATTTTGGATATTTTTATAAAATGGCTTATTGACTTAGAGGCAGAACAATTAATGGGAATTATTGTAGACAAGATTTGATCCAATGAAAATCTATATTAGTAATAAATCATAAAAATCATTACATCTTCTCAATAATGTAAGTTCATTTATAGTTGTCATAACAATATTGTCATTGATATAAATCTTAAACATGGTTATTATATTATGGAAATAACAAGTGAAATAATTGCAATTGTATTTTTCAATTAGTCCACTTTATCAATTCAACACAAATCCCCCATGTTTTAAATAAAAGCATGTCTCAAAAGATACCTTTATGTTTTAATTTAAAAATCATTGTCCCAAGCTAGGGTATTTGATGTTTTAAATTAAAACGCTCAATCGACATTTTAACAAACCCATGTTCACATAAAATTAGAATATATAATCAAACCTAAAATGTATAGAATCATTATTATGTGAATTATAATATACCAACTGAGTGGTGGCTTAGTGATACCTAAATTGGGTTGTCTCAATAGAGATGTGGATTTGAGTTCCGCTACCGGATACCACCAACTTTGAGAAGATTTATGCCTCCTATGGGGGCACAAGGCATAAGATTCATACAAAAAAAATAATAATATGATCACAACTAATAACATATATAGGTTTTAAAAGAAACATAAATAAACTTTTATTAATGAAAATGATTTATTTCTATTAGCAAGTGTAATGTCATTTACATAGAAAACCAAAACAATGAATTTGCTTTCACCAATTTTCAAATATATATACTAATTAACAATGTTTCCTTAACCTTCAATTATTACATTAAAGCCCATTTTACCATAGATAGATTTCTTTAGCTTACATACTAGATTTTTTTATATCTTAAAACTCATTGATTGTTCTATAAAAATATTTTTATATTGATTTTAATTGAGAAAATATATTTTACATCTTTTTTATGTAGCTCTAGATTAAAATGAACCACAATAGTCATAATGATTAAAAAGAAATCTTTCTTTGAGTTTTTTATTTTCATAAATATATTTATAATCAATTGGCTTGATTATGTTAGAAAGTTCAATAAATTTGTAAACATCATTTTTCATTCATGTATTTAATCTCCTCTTTCATGAAATTAAACCTTCTTTCCCATAAATATTAACTTTTACCTTAAGAAGCATTGCTTGTATTTCTTTCTTCATTAAAATCAATCTCTTGTTCTTTAGGTATACAATAAAATCATTTGAAATAGCCAATTTACCTTTTTTAAAGACATCCTTAAAGAATCATAAGCATTTGTATAAATAACTTTGTAGAATATTGGGATTGACACCTTTTTAACTGATCAGTAATGTCCAACTATTCTACTTAATTGTAGGTTAAACTAATGATATTAATGAGCTATATGCCAATCCTCTACAAAGATGATGTTCAAAGTTTTAATCTCCTATTATTTTGAAATATTGCAATACAAGTTTCTTTAAGCCTAAGAGTGTCAGATACAAAATATAACCTAAAAATGGCCATCTAGGTTCATCAACAAAAAAATGTATAACTTTTGGTAAAAAACTTTTTAGTCATAGCATTTGTGCAAAAAAGCCTAATGAAGAACCTTATTGGTCAATGCAACTTACTGGTTATGTAGATAGGTTCTCAGTTCCAACAAATTGGAGGGACCCATCCCCCTTTTATTTACCATAAAAAATCTATATTACTATTATGAATGAGAGTGTGGAACTTTTGTTTGATTAAGATACCCGGTTTTTTTTAATTTAATTGGTCCCTCTCTCATTACAATGATAGAAATATAATTTCGACAACCATTTTCTCCTTATTCAAATCCCTTTCATTTAAATCTTATACTTAAGGTATTAACTCTTATTAGCATTCGTTGAATCCAATTCTTTACTAGTATACCCCTATTTCTGTATTCGATCACTCTCTAATTGTAGGGGCACAAAATGTAATTTAAACTACTACATTTCTCCTCATTCAATTCCCTTTAAGTCTTATATTTAAGATATCAACTCCTATTCTTTCATTAAATTTTATATTAATTGATTATATTGATATTAACATAAAAAAATAAGTGTCATAAAGAATAATCATTTTTATAGATAATAGAAATAAAATACAAATTTAAAACCAAATAAAAAATGGAATTTTCATGTTTGGTGGTGAGTCAACAATTCAACCTTTTGTACCAAATGTGTAAATCCTTGATGTTATAATTAAATGATAATAAAAATTAAAAAAGACAGAGACACAAAAGCATAAAGAATACAAAAAAAAAAAAAATTATAGAAAACATTTAAGCAAATATTAGTTGCCATCATCATCATAAAAAATTATCACTGCTTTGCATATGCACATTTACTATAAATCATAAATGAATGTATCCATAGGAATCATTAGATGTCAACTCTTTCTCCCTTTAAACTATTAAATGGCTTTAAATTAGCTTTTGGAACTACAAACCAAAAGTACAATGTCCTAGCGCACCAATAGTTGATTTGAAACTTTGTTAGGCTCTACAATGATGTGTGCATATCAAATGATATGACATGAAATGAATTTGAAATAGGAGAAACAGAAACAAAACAAATATGAAATACTATGTTTGGTTTGAAGTAGAAAGTAGGGAAACCTATACAATATTTGTAAAGGTTTTCCTACCTTATCCTTCCTTTCCCTACTTTTTCCTTCAAACCAAACATAACCAATTCTATAATGATGCATACATGTTAGATGATATGATAATAAAATAAATTGAAAAAGTAGGAGAAAAAGAGACAAACCAAATATGAAATTATCCAAGCTTGTATTTTGCACGAATTCATAGATTAATAACCTTTCTTCCCCTTGTATGCAAAATCCTAATAATTGCACAAGATTTTTGTGCTGAAGTTTGGCTACTAATACAATCTCATTTTTGAATTCTACTTCACCCTGTCCAAAATTTTTGGAGAGCCTCTTTACTGCCACGTTTTGCCCAGTTGAGAATGTACCCTAAGGATATATAAGACAAAAATGAGAAAATTTTATAATCTAATTAAAATAAACTAAAGTTTGCTTAATCACCTTAACATGAGACTATTATGCTATAATCTCCTTACCTTGTAAACACAACCGAATCCACCTTGGCCAATCTTATTAGCAGTAGAAAAGTTATTCGTGGCAGCCCTTATCAAATTAAACTCAAATTGCAAGTATTCCACGCTTATAATCTCGTCCACATCTTTACAAAAAATAGCAAACAATAGAGACATAAATTTAATGAGTTTAAAGCTTGAAGAAGAAACATATGAGAGAGAGAGAGAAGTTGCTTTTATTTTGTTTTCTTTGAATTTAGGGGTTTTATATGGGTGTAATTTTATGGGGGCCACAAGAATTAAATTATACGTAAATTAGTCTATTTGGACGTCAATATCATATAAGACCTCCATTTTGTTGTGGATAATTAATTAAAATCCCTTATTGTGAGGTACTCAGATTCTAATTATACAGAAGATTTAGCAGAAATAAAATTAAACCTTATATGGCTGAGAGAATAATAAATGCCCTTTGTATACAGAAGGGCTGCAAGTGGATTGAATCGAATCGGATATAGGTAGATACAAATTAAACTAAAAATACGATGTATTATTAATAGAATGAACTAAATATGGCTTTGATACTATATTTCATGAACAAATTGAACTGAAACTATAATAGTTTAGTAAAAATAAATTCAAACTAATAACTATATAGATCTAATACAAATTTGAAGTATATATGTCTGAGTAAATATATTTATTTTGAATGAAATTGAATTACACCGATTGGGGTGGATCCATATTTACTCCAATCATCAATGGATCAAATGCGGATCACTCTTAATGGGATCAATTTTGACTTCGAAATCACACAACCAGACGTTCGCAGGGCTAGTTTAATTGAAGCTATAGTTGAGTACGTTGCATTTTGTTAACTAGTTTTTCACTAATTTAGCAATATTATCAGGTATATATATATATATATACTACAAATAAATCAAGCATAATAATTTAGGTCAGGCTGGAGGTACAACGGAGGCCCAAATGGTGGTCTCTGTTTCCACCATTTGGGAACGTCTAAAGGCGATTAATTACAGCTCCGAAAAGAGCTCAAGAGTTAATATCAACCTGATCAGAAATCAGAGAAATTTAATCCTTGCCAAAGAGGTGTTTAAAAAGGCATGGGTGAGGATTTAGATTTACTGTAGGAGACTGACGAGCACGAAGGTTGACTATGTTATGGAGCTGTTAAAAAACAAGGATATTTTGTCTGGTTTTGTTGTAGAGGGTTGGGTGGCAGTGGCGAATTGGTTGCGATCGTAGAAACTTCTTGCGGGAACAATAATGGTGATGAGGAGGAAATGGAGGGTCGGAACATAATTGAAGAAGTGGAGACTTTAATGAATTCCTTTGCCAATTCACCGGATTAGAGCTCGGAGAACGATTCAAATATAGTCAAAAGTCGAATGGAGCAAGATGCTCAGATGGCAAGAGTGTTGGCTATTGTTCTTGAGAGGAGGATATAATGCTAGGGCGGCTTTCAGGAGGTTAGAATTGTGTGGATATGAATGGGCGTATGCAAGCATGGAAAAAAAATGTTAACCCTTCAAAAAGCTTTTGAATCACCTCTAAAAAGCACCGAAAACAGAACAATCCCCTGCATGATTCAAAAAGTTCTGATGCAAAATAAAATTGATATTGAGTTGAAATTCTGAAACTGAAATGCAATTATTCTAGTGCCTTTTGGACTTTGAACCTACACTTGTGACATCTCAGTTAGGACTAAGCTTTTGAATTCTATTTTTCTTTAGTGTATTTCTACTAATCATGATACTCATCTAATTGCCTTTTAATTGTTGTGAGTTTAATGGGGTGACATTATTTCGGCCTTATGTTATTAAAGAGCCAACCTAAGTTCTCATAAGAGGTAGTCTCACCCCAAGCTCACATATATGAATCTATAAATAATGTGTGTACTGAAAAACCATACAAAATTAAAGTCGAATTCATTAAGAGTATATAACTCAACTTGAAAAAGCATTGAAGAACTTCAAAGTTAGATGGGGACAAAACAAATGTTTATAGTGCTCAATGGGCCATTTGCTGATTTTTTTTTTCCATTTGTACCTAATTTATGGGATCTACACTCGTATAAGTTGGGTTTTCATCACTAATAACCTCTAAAATAGGTATAAATCCCATACCTCTCTACAAGAGTCCATAACAAGTTTCATAGGAAGAGTCTTGGGCAAAGGATTAATCAAGTTCTTTTTTGACTTTACAAATCCATATGATATAGCCCCATCAGAAATTAGGTTTTTTTTTTTTTTTTACTACGTACATTATCTATAAATCTAATGTCTATTTTTACCATTAGAAAGTCATGGGATATATCTATTTTTACCATTATATATTTTTTGAAAAGTTAGATAAATAGAAATTTGATAAAAATCCTCAAAAAAATAAATAATAAAACAATTTCAATTTTCTTTATAAATGAAACATAAGTGGAGAGAAAGAGGGATTGAGTGAGAGTAGAGAAAAAGAGAGCCACGTTTAACTATCAACATTCTGGATCAAGTTTAAGCAAAGAGAGCCACTATTTTCTGAGAAACAGAAAGAAGACAAGGTCAACCCCTTTTCAAGAAGAAGAAGATTGAGAGAGAGAGAGAGAGAGAGAGAGAGAGAGAGCTCCTATTTGATTGTTGACCTCCTCCATTCAGCCCCTTTTTACGTCTATAATAAAAGAAGAAGCAGGAGAATAAAATGATGATGATGCCTACTATGTCTTCTCACTTCTCTACTTGCAGACAAATAGAAATCTTGGCATCATTTGTGTTTCATAGAGTGAAGGAGGAAGAAATTATGTTTTGTTTGTTGGAGCGGGCGAACCCTAAAACCTTTTTTTGTTTTTCCCAATTTCCTCTCAACCCTAAGACTATTTGATTTGTGGGATAGGAGGGGAAGAATATTCTATATCTTCCCTTCCCATGTTTGTTTTGTGGGATGCCATGAGACAACATGGGAAAAAGGTGGGATTATAGATCCCAATTCTTGGGATGCCAAATCCCACCATTTTAGTAGGAAATAAGTGGGAATGGAGAAGAAACTTGGTTAACAAGAAAAAACACCTTTCTTGTGGTATTTATAAGAGTTAAATGTTAGACCCATAACACATTAATAAATTATTAATTATTTAACAACATATTCATAAAAAATTTAATAAAAATAATTAGTGAATAAACTAAAATAAATAATTAATCAATTAAAATTAATTAATTAATATTTCAATATAAAATGTTAAAATTATTAAATAAGTCTTAAGTATTAAGAAAATAGAATATTAATAATACAATATAAACTAATAAAATTAAAATATTAAGTAATTTCAATAATTAATTAAGTCATTATTAATATTAATTAATACTTTTTAATAAAATACTAAATCATAAAAATATTATTAACTACTTAATAATTAACAACAAAATAATAAATAAGTAATTAATTAACTAATTATGAATAATAAAGAATTATTTCATTACTAAGAATTTAATTTTTATTATTATTCTTATTATTGAAAACAAATTAAAATAAATAGTTAATTGATGCAACACTAATGGATAGGGTATTTGTCACAAAGTAAAAGTTCAAGGGGTCTCCATTGCAGATAAAAGTTCAAGGGGGTATTTTTCACTAACCCCATATTATAGGGGGTCTTTGTAATTTACCCAAACTATTAATAATTAAAAATTATTAATTAATTAAGAGTAAAATATAAAATAATAAAATATTAATAATTACCTAATTAATAATTATTATTAATGTTGAATTTTCCATTATTTTCCCTTTTGCAACCAAATGGTACAATAAAAAATAAAAATTTCCACTTATTTTCCCTTTCTCGTCCCATTCCTTCCCATCCTTTCCCTTTTCACCAAAATCTTTCCTCAAACCAAATGCAACCTATGATCAAGTCAACCAATGGATAACCCTGAACCCAACCCACCCTCACCTTGAAGGGTCATTGAACCACCCATACTGACCCGCTATTCAAATCGGTGGGTTTTTAAGTGAATGGGTCAAATGAGTTGGGTCAAAATTGCCAGTTTAAACGCATTTGAAAACTTCAGTCATACGTGGCTCATCATTGAGTCAGAGAACATCAAGGAAAACAAAAGCTAAAATCAGAAAAAGTTTGTACAATAAAGTTAAAAAGCAAACTTGAAAAATGAATGGAGGAATTACAATGCAAAATCCGTGTGATCCAATGACCACTGAGACCTAATTTTAAATGTTTAAAGATGGGTAAGATCACAGACCCGAATCTTGAATCAACCCCGATCTGTAGGGTAGAGCTTACCACAAGTCAATAAAGCAGAGGCCCCATCTTTAAAAGATTGTAAGAAATTAAGAGTGGTTGGTATATGTCACTACCGAGTTGAGATTTTCTACCCATAAAAAAACACGTTCCAACCCTCTACCAATTTATTATATCTTACCGTGTATGAGATGTATGGTATAACATGACGTTGGTTTTGGGTTGGAACATGTTTTGTTGACAGATGACCTGGTCTTGTCACTACCCTTGAAAATTTGTATTTGGGTGTTACTGCCTTTCACATCTCATCTACCAACAGCTGGTGGCCGGTAAGATCTTGACTCAAGACATAACACCTATATTAGAGAGTAGAGACATAGCATTAAATCTCGTTGTCGCTGGCACTAGGGTTAAGTGGGAGAAGGGGTCGAGAAGAGATGTAATAGAATGTAGTATACCCGTTGGTAACTGATGAGGATGGATTTGTCCCAATGACAATGTGACACGTGGCATCTTGAATAATTGGATGACACTCGGAACCACTTAGGCAACAACTTAGTCAAGATAATGGTGTCCCAACTTGGTGACTTGACACAGGCGTCAACTTGGCGACCTCGACCACAATTCAGGTCGGCTAGAAGCACCTCGTCCAGGGCCGACCTGCAGTACCTCATCACTAGCCGAAGTGACATCGACGCAAGGAGCGATCTCCCTCGAGGGCGTGCCGGCCTGATTGAGGTCCAGGTGGCGACCTGCAAGACGTGCTCGCCGACAAATTCGGCATGCATATCTCGACACTCCCACGATCCTTAGAAGTTAACCCACATATCGAACATTCCGAAGGATGGTCAACGTGCATGGCGGTTGCCTCCGGGAATCTCAGACCACTTAGGCGACCTCTCAGAAATCTCGGATACGGTGCGTGAAGCCCACGCCAAACAATGCCTATATAAAGGCACCAACCCCAATGACATAGGGGGGCAAGTAAGCATATCCTAGCTCTCATACTTTGTGATTTTTATCTCGCAGTCTACTATGAGAGTACTGATTTAAGCATTGGAGCGACCTCGTCGGGTTAGCCACCCCGGGTCCTCTGACATTGATTCCTTACAGGTCTTTAAAGAACTACGAGGCTCAACAATCAATCTAGCTCGGCCCAGTCAGTTCGGCACCTAACCTGCCCAGTCAATTCATCACCTAACCTGCCCAGCTTGGCTCAGTCAGCTCGGCACCTAATCTGCCCCCAGCTCGACCTGGTCAGCTCGGCATCTAGGTCCTCATCTAGCAAAAGTTCTTCATTTCAGCCTCTGAGTAATCGGCCACTTGGAAATAGACCAAATGATGAGGTACTTAGCACCAAAATTTGATTCATCAATTGACACCGTCTGTAGGAAACACTACAAAAAGCTAAGTTCTCATCTTTTGAAAGGCTAAGTTATCTTCTTACAGAAAGCTAAGTTCTCACCTTTTAGAAACTAAAGCTCTCACTTTCTCGTTTCCATTTTTTATGAACTCAAAGACTACGCAGGAAGTTGATGGCTAATAGACTAAGTAGCTCTACCGACTTTATTTCAACTCGGATAAAGCCTCATCAGTCCTCTTCGCGAGTTACCCTCTACAATATGAGCTCTTCGTGGCTTCTGCGGGAGTTGGCGGCCAACGGACTGCACGGACGCCCCTGCCAGTTGAGCCTTCCAAGGCTCCCGTGCGAGATGGTGACCTAAAGTCAATAGTGCTGCCCCCATAGGTCGAGATCCCAGTAGCTTGTTGTAGGAGTGAGTGACCGGCTTCACTAACAAGGCTGATGCAGCGCAGCCGTAGCTCTAAAGTGCCAAACTAATAAAAGACCTCGGCACCACATAAGACCCAGTCGCCTCTTTGGCATGGGCAAGATCGAGGATAAGGAGAGTGGACCGCGAGTCGCTCCCAGAGCCCAAGGGCTAAGGTGCCAAGCTGATAAAAGATCTCGACACCACTTAAGACAGATGGTGAGGTCCTGCATAAGGCTGCAAACACTTGGACTCTTCTGACCTGAGAAGCAAATTGGATTGACGCTTACGAGCTCATCGAATTAGTCATTCTAGGCCAAAAGGAGCAATCTACTCCATTCGCTGAGTTATTTTCAGCTCAAAAGTGGGGGGCAATTGATGAGGGTGGATTTGGCCTTCCAATGACAATGTGACACATGGCATCTCGGAACAACTAGGTGACACCCAAAACCACTTAGGCAACAACTTAGTCAAGATGATGGTGTCCCGACCTGGCGACCTGGCACAGGCACTGACCTAGCGACCTCGACCACAACTCAGGTCGGCTAGAAGCACCTCGTCTAGGGCCGACCTGCAGCACCACATCACTAGCCGAAGTGACCTCGATGCAAGGAGTGACCTCCCTCGAGGGCGTGTCGGCCTGATTGAGGTCCAGGTGGCGACCTGTGAGGTGTGCTCGCCGACAAATTTGGCATGCATATCCCAAAACTCCCACGATCCTTGGAAGTTAGCCCACGTATCGAACGTTCTAGAGGATGGTCAACTTGCATGGCGGTTTCCTCCAGGAATCTCGGACCACTTAGACGACCTGTCAAAAATCTCGGATGCGGTGCATGAAACCCACGCTAAACAATGCCTATATAAAGGCACCAACCCCAATGGCATAGGGGGCAAATAAGCATATTCTATCTCTCATACTTTGTGATTTTTAGCTCATAGTCTACTATGAGAGTACTGATTTAAGCATCGGAGCGACCTCGCCGGATTAGCCACCCCGGTTCCTCTGACATTGATTCCTTACAGGTCTCTAAAAAACTACGAAGCTCAACAATCAATCCAGCTCGACTCAGTTAGTTCGACACTTAACCTGCCCAGCCCGACCTAGTCAGTTCGGCACCTAACTTGCCCAACTCAGCTCAATCAGTTTGGCACCTAATCTGTCCCCAGTTCGGCTCAGTCAGCTCGGCACCTAATATGCCCCCAGTTCAGCCTGATCAGCTCGGCATCTAGGTCCTCATCCAGCAAAAGTTCTCCACTTCGGCTTCTGAGTCATCGACCACTTGAAAACAGACCAAATGACAAGATACTTAACACCAAAAATTGATTATCAATAACATCTTTAAAGGTTGTTAGTGAGAGATATTCCCAATATACGGTTGAGATATGCAGTGAGGCATGAAATTCTTTCCGCTGAAAAATTCTAGCATTATAGGTTTTTCCTTATAAGTTAATAAGAGGCAAGCAAGTATATGACATGTAGTTACCATTGACGTTAGGGTTTGATCTTCTCATCCTCCTGCCGTTTCTCCTCCTACTTCTTAAGTAGAACACAGTGGATAGAAGTAAAAATACCATGACAGTTGAAGTGGCGATAATGATGGGAAGATGAGATGAATTTGGTTCCTTGATCACTGCAAATACGGAAGCAATATTTACGGTTAATCTTTTTTTTTCTCGCTTTGCAATGGAATCTTGAACCTTGAAGCTAGAATTGAAATTCTAATATATTATCATTATTTTCAACAGCGTAGGCTGATGATTAATAATATTAATTCCACGAATTGCGTTTCCCTAGGCAATATGTAAACATACCTTGTATCACGGTTGCGGTTGCGTTTGTTGACAGAGATGGCGGAGGAGCTTTGGGTTGATAGAATGGGTATATGCTGTATCTCAGAACACAATTCGGCCAGAGTTGCGCTGCCCTTTCATTTCCATCACAACACTTACCTAAATATGCCTTAGCAGTATTCAAACATAAATAACAATCACTCCCAGATATATCTGGGGTGCACTGTGCAAGACAATATACAGTCCGCAGTGTATCAAAAGCAGCTTCTCCAGTTGCGAATTTAATTGAAGTACTAAAGGCAGCACGGGCAATAATATCAGTGAATGTTTTATTTAACGCTCGATCAAGTTGCTCGACATGACCGGAAACATTACTAGACTGATTTGGATACCCAGATCTAGATGGGTCTAAGTCGAGAGTCGAGAAGATGGGTCGGTTCGAATATCTGAGCATACACTGATCATACCATATGTTTGCCTCCTTCTGGTAGGGGCAGACTTTGACGAGGTCTTGACTTGCAGCTTGGACGCATGTCTGGCAGATATCTAAGTTAACATCTCCTCTGCACAGGAACAGACTGTAGACTTTGTCCGGAATCCGGCCGGCGGTGTCGTTATAAAATCCAGTATTTGCTGCTGCAGCTGAAAGCTTAGAGAGGATGAGATCTAGATTGTCTTGAAATGCACTGCTGTTGGTGAAATTGGCCTTATTTGTGCAGGTGTAGAGCAAGTAACCATCGCCTGCACTCTGACCCACAAGTAGGAAAAAGAGTAGAGAAGAAAGCAAGATGGTAGGAAATGTTCCTGAGACATGGAGACGTGGAACCTCACCTTGGCTCATTCTATTTCTATGGGAAGAATTACAGACTTCGGAGTTTGGAGTGATTTGAGTCCTCAAGATGCAAGGTATTTCATGAATTTATATGCATGACGACTTTTACTTGGTCAATTTCCCGGGTTATAGCAATTAATGCTGTGACTTCTGACACTTGGACCGAATATAAACCGGAAAGATCATTAATTGAACCAATATTAATTTTACTGGTTGATTGGTCGGTTGGATAAGAGTTGTCAAATAATAAGAGTTGTCAAGTGTTCTGTATGTGTGGATCCTAAAAAAGAGAAAAAATAAAATAAAAGAAACGGGCTATATAACCAATCACGAGCTATATAACCAGTTACTCTCCTATCAGGACAATCTGTACAGTTTTCGGTTAGTTAATGAATAATGAATAGCTTGATTGCTGCTTTTTTTTTTTAAAAAAAAAAAAAGGGATTATAACGGCAACTTTTGAGCCTTAATATGCAAAATTCTTCCTCCTCCGAACCACTTCCGCTCCATCTCCGCGAACCTTAATAACCACCATCTATCAGTGCCACCGCCGCCCACCTCCACCTCTGCCCACCAACGCCAACGCCGCCCGCCTCCATTCAACAACAGCAGCCCCGCACTGTTTACATGAGCGTTTTCTCAAAAAAAAAAAAAAAAAAAAACAATATTTTACATGAACAGCATCGTTTGATATTAGGGCCCAAAACAATATTTTACATGAACAGCAGCAGCCTCGCGATTCTTCTCTAGATTGAGAGAAAACAATATTTTACATGAGCGTTGCCCACCGGCGCTGGGACGGAAGTGGTTTGGAGGAGGAAGAAGATAAACAGTGATTTTGTTTAAAAAATTAACCTATTTTAGAAATTATATTAAATTCCCCCTCCAAAAGGAGGGAAAAAAAAGAAAAGAAAAGCTTCTAAAATTTGCCATCCCAATAGTTACAACCACCAGTCACACTGCATAATAAATGAAATAGACAAAGCAGTTCAAGTTTGCTTCAAGGTAGATGGAACCTGCTATGCTCTTAAAGAGCATTTCTACCTTTTTCTTTCCTAAAATTTGCTACCCAAATCCGGTTATAAGCATATTGAGCAGTCTTCCTACAGCCTTTTCTTATCTAACTCCTTTCCTAGAGATACCTTAATCCTTACAGTGCACCATCCATTGACATGGACCAGACTGAATCCATTACAATATCATATTTGATCTTAATGTACGAGTTCTAGAACAAGAAAGTAACCATTTGTAGGCCATAGCTGCAAGCACCAATTACCTACTCAAAGGTCCAAAACAATTCATGATCAATATTATTTCCAAACAAGAATCAAAACTATTGTTCAGTAAAACAAAAAGCCAGAGCTTCCATTATCTTCTGCAAATTAAAATCCTCATTTACTAATTCCCTCCATTTAAAATCCTGATAATGGTGAACATTAACTACATTTTCTACATTATACAAGAACGTATGACAATTAATCCACAGTTCTATCTTATCACGAGTGTTTCATACAATCAATCTACAGTTCTATCTTATCACCAACGTTTCATACTGATCCAGAACACCCAGGAAAAAAAGTGAAACACAAAATGATGAAGTGAATCCAAATCATATTTCCTCAAAAGCAAAAGGTACATGAGGAAAAACCCCCAAATGGGGAAAAAACTTACAGATTTTTGTCAACCCTTAGTTAGGGTTTATCATTTCTTCACAGATTGGACTGTAGACTCACCTCAAACCCTGAAATCCCCTGAACCGAGACTCGACCTCAGTTCAATCCCAGAACGACAAATTGGACAAGAAGGCACTTTTACCAGCCAAGCATCGACACAGTTCACATGGAAGGCATGCTTACAGCCCGGAAGAACCCGAAACTGCTCCTCTTCCCGGAGCCTCTCCAAGCAGACGGCACAATCTCTATTCGACCCAGATGCCGACCCAGATGCCAAAGCCACAACCCCTCCATAATTGCAACAGGGAAGCTTCTGTAGATCCTCCGGAGACAACCCAACACCAAATTCCACCTCACCTTCGCCTGAATCGCGGGAATACGCCTGACGCCTCCTCCTGCGGTGGAACGCTCCACCTACAACGCATAAATGGATGAGGAAGATGGTGGCAATGCCAACAAAAAGGAAGAAAAGTGAGATAACAATCGCCATGACTACGACTCGGAGTAAAAAGGAGAGAAGCACGGGGTTCGGTTTCGTCGATGCGTGCCGTGACCGCATTGAAAATGGGGGCGGTTGTGGTGACGAGACCAGAAGCTCAGGAGCCCCTGCAGGTGGTGACGATGGCAGGGATGTGTATCGTGCGCCACCGATTGAACGGCCCCGATTCAGGCCTATGTTAGCGTCGTCTTCGCGCTCACTAGACATTTCCTCTCTCTCTCTCTCTCTCTCTCTCTCTCTCTCTCTCTCCCTGTCGCTGGCTGCAAAAACACTCTGAGGGATGAGTTGCAAAAGCTCTGTGAGGGGGATGAGATAGCGAATTCTCGATCAGAGAGCGATATCAAGAACAACTAAAAAAGAAGGATGATGTCATTGAGTTAATCTGCACCGCTTGCACCCGTTTAAGCAGTACGAATTTTGGGATGTGGAGACAACTTTCTGATTGAAATTGTTGGTTTCAGCACATGATTCTTTGTGGAGACTGACAATTTGACAAACAAGCATTAATATCTGCTACTTTTAATACACGTTGCATAGTTGCATGCATGATATTAAATGAGTTTCAGGTCAGGATTACGAAAAGAAATGGAATCTCTTGATCTTAGCCTTCTGTTTTGGTTATCGTAGCCTTGGAGAATAAATAAAAAAATAGAATTGTCAGAGGAGGATTGGGATACGTCTGGGAAGATTAACTTTTTCCTAATTTCAGTTGAAGGATTTTACCATCGAGTGGTAAGTTGACAAAAATCCTTGTTTTTAGCTCCAGCAGAGAGGTAAAAGGATCCACTTCTCCATACGCCGGAGTATAATTTGGAATTTGGCAAAAGTTCTAGCAGAAGGAAATTTATCAGAATCTCAATGGAATCTTCTACCTTTCACAGTTGTCTATCTCCCTTGGACCAGCTCGGTTGGCTTGTTAATTGGCAGAACTCCAGATGACCTTGCAAATTCTAAGGGCACTCAACCATTCATACCGGTGGGGGATTCAAATCTGCTCTCTTTAACCAGTAAAACTTTAAGTTGCAAATATCTGATTTCAATAGGAAAACTTCATCCCATCACATGAAGGTTTTTCAACCATAGAAGTAATTAAATTGAAGTCTTGTTTGTAGTAGTTGAGCAGGCATTATATAAAGTCTTAGATCAAACCTCTTTTCTATTAATCTATTGACCAGTGTAAACAGAAGATCAATGATCACTTTCAATTGAACAAAGATGATGAAAACAACAAAGATGAAGGCATAGAAAGAGAAGGGTATCAAGGGGCACATGACATCATGGGCTCAAGATAATTCACATAACGCTAACAGAACTCTAACAATTGGACTTGAATGTATATTTCTCAAAATTTAGGAATTTGGTTGTGCCACTTGAGAGGCCCTCCCCTCGATACCTATTTATAATTTTTCTAAAAATGTAGAATTACAGATACATATACATTATATTTATATAAAAATACATTTTTCTAATTATATATACATGCATATATGTATAATCATGTATTATAAACTTGTCAATAATATTTGAAACTCTACGGCTCAATCCAACATCTTTATCTTAAACATGGATTTGGATGTCGTGTTTATGCAATTAGATCGGATTTGAATTTTGCAATTTGTATCTGATTAATAATTAATCAGATCGGATTCGGATTTGACTCAATCTGAATCCAATTATGTTATAATATTTATTGATTTTAATATATGTTTTTATATTTATTATATTATATACATAAACTTATATATATTAAATTCAGTATGTTATATTTATATTAATTTATTATATATAGAAGTCAAAAAATAATTAACTTTTTAATAATTTTGTATTTAAAAAAAATTATAGTAGAGTAGGATTAAATCCAAATCCGCTAGGATTCGAATTTGAACCCAAGGTCTCCAAATCCAATCAGATTTGCATGCAAACTTTCAATAATCGAATCTGATTTGGATTTAGATTTTACTGATGCGATCCATTTACAACCCTAAATTCTTTCAAATCCAACCAACCTGCAGCCCAAGCCTGACTATCCCAAGCCTAAGCCTAAGCCGAACCCGAGTTATGTTGGATTAAGCTCAGGTTGGCCTGGGTTGATAAACTTAACCTCAGGTTGGGTCAGGCCCAAGCCCAAGGTTTGCACCTTTAGGTTTAGGCGTGGGTTGACCTTCAACCCGCCCAAATTGCACCCCTACGGCCCTACCAACAAAACAAGAAAATTCGTGTGGAGTAGAAAATCCAGAATATTATGCCTTTATGCCAGCAAGGCGGGCTAAGAAACTACCACAAAATAACCCATTGGGGAACCCTATGAAGCTTAATTCCAAAAAGAACCTGCGACTTGTGAAAGAGTTAGCACTTAGCAGCTCTATATGGTCAACCTATCTCTTTGCTTAATGAATATCAATAGAGTATTAAATTGCAATTCAGGGATACTGAGAACTGAAAAGTGGAAATTGCTCCTCGTACCACGATGGATTCCATGTTTTACACAGCTTTTGCTAAGTTTTGTACTATTAAGGAAATTTCCCACATTAATCCGAGCAAGAATTTTCTAGTTTTCAATTTAAATGATTCGAGGGTGCCAGGAATCCGAATCCCATGTGCGTGATGTTTGAATTGTTCCAATTAAAGAAAAAAAAAAAAGAATATAATTGTAACAGCAATAAAGAAGGGCTAGTACTGCTTCCAACATACCGACTGAACACCATGGTTTACACCCACATGGGGTTTCCAACATTTCAAATGAATTCTCAGGAAAACAAGATTCTGAATCACTTGGTGCAAAGTCTAGACTAGAGATGCAATACATAGATTTGTACTTCTGAAAGATTAAAGTAACTTTATAGCAAATACTAGTTGGTGATAGGTCAAATTTTTGGATATTTGTCTTGATCATTCAGTCTCTTTATCATGGTCTTTCTGATTCTAATTTTTCCAGTCTCCCCAAATTTTGAAATTATTAGCATAATATAAGAATTTATGTCATATAAGTACAATTAAATGTTATTTACTCAATTTTCTGGAAACCACCAGTTTATGTTACGCTGCCAAAGAAAAACTGACATCAGATCAGTGCTTCTGAAGGTCACTCACCATCTACAGCTTTCAGTCACCCTGCAACACAATCTCATCTGTTTCAATTTCTTCTGAATAAACTGCTTTCTAGTTAAAGGTTTTGGACAAACATTACAAGGAATATAGTTAGCATACAGAAATAAATGGCCACTTTATATGAATGTCAGCCCCCAAAGAAACAACAGAGAACCAAAGAAGCTCAGAACGGAACATGGAAATTGAAAGCTAAAATTAATTGCAAGGATCATCTCTCCTTTTTTTTTTTTGGTATTGACTCTATTTTCCATGTATGTCCCCTTAAATATTTACTGAATCTGGCAATGATACTAAAAGAAGTGGAAAATTCCATAATTTGTGGTAAACTGAAAATTAACTTGTCCACAAAATAAGCTTAGCTGAGACAGAGATATTAAGTTGAATGAGTGATGCAAGATCCCAGGAGTCAAAACTGGAGTTTTATAGAATTTTTATGTATTTTTGTATCATTAGGGTTGTTTGGTCCTTTCACATGTTTGTGGGGATCCTGGGTAGGAGTTTGATTTGTCTAATCATGTTCATTTTGCATGTAAAGTTCAGTCTGTATTTGTGTGCGTATGTTCAACTAAGACTTGTCCCAACTATATGAGATCAGTTGCATGAATCCTGTTCTACATTCCTCTGTTCAGTGCCATCTCCATTGTAGAGCTGTAAACTGGACCTGGTCAGGTTGACCTGACAAAACCTAACCAATTATATAGAGTCTGGTTCTAGATTATATGTCCCACTTATTGATTCAGCTCAGGGTTTTAATCTGAACCAATTAAGACCCGAACCAACTATATAATTACATATATAATATAAATAAATTAAAATGATACACCCAGAGTAATACTAGAATAACAATTCAGTCACCCTTTTTTCTATTCTCAATGGACAGAAGCTTGAAACAATGGAATCTCAGAGCTCAAGCAACGACAGCATGACTGGTGTTGGAGCTCAAGCGGCAGCAACTTGATCAGCATCAAAGCTCAAGCAGCAGGAAGAAACAGTGATCCCATCTAAATGAAACTACGTGTGCTTAAGTCACCAAATGGAATGACTGAGCATCCCCTGGAAAAAGAGAAGTATTTATTTGGGGGGATTGAAACAGAAAGAAGTACAGAGGTCTGGTTTCTAGAGCACCCTCCTTTAACCCAAAAGCCATATAAGATAGGACCTAGTTAACCAAATACATGGATGGAGAACACGGTCCAAGGCATAACTTCCCTTACCATTGTTGAAATATTCCTTGGATTTAAGAGTTGAAAAGAACAAGAAAGATAAAATGCATAATCTTTTTGTGATCTAATAACAAGTATGATAAAACTTATATGTAGCTTGGAGCATCAAGTTTAACTATAACTTTGGCCATTATGGTTTTTCAATCCAATATGTATTCTATCTGGGTTTTGCCTCCATTTTCTCTAGCTGATTAAAAGGGCTTTTTTTTAGCAAATTATTAATGCGCACAACTATTCTTAAACAAAATAAACTTGTATTGTGTCATTCTTCTCATGGAGTTTATATACTGGATCATCAAAAGAAAAAAAAAGAATGCTGTGTATTGGTCTATAACTGAAATAAATAAGAAGTCCACAATTTATATCATTTTCTTCTTGTGAGACAATGGACTAATATAAGTACATAAACCCTGTTGACCAGACACAAACCCAAGTCAAACTAGATCAATTTGAACCAAGTAAGCACTCAAACTTGAAGCAAATAAGATCAATTTAGTTTCTAGACTAATAATAAAAGGGCAAAATAGCAAAAAACAAGATATTACTTTCCAGAACTCAAGTCAACCCAAAGAACCTATAAATAGGACCACCATATCCAGATTGGGNATCACACATTCTGGAGACCCTCTCTCTCTTCTTTTCAAACGCTCTCTCCACCCGAGTCACTAGCATACTTTCACTAACTCACTTTTGTACCTCTCCCTGGAGTTCAGTAACCAGAAAACTATAGCAGCTTAATCCCTCACCAGAGGGCATGTAGACAGCCTGTTAGGGGGTCCAGCTGGTTCTATCCCCTTCTTCCCATTTTCTCCTGTTCCAGACAACAGCCATTTCCTCAGACTCCTAGAATCAGACTGTTAATGCCCTATCCATCAGCTTACATAGAATCACTAATTTCGATCTTTGATCCCTAGATGGGATGGCACTTCAGAGGTTGATTTCCGCACCGACATTAAGGATCCAACAATGACATCATCACCAACATCAAAGATTCACTAATGGCATCATTACCGGCATCATGCAGATCCGCCAATAGAACCGGCATCACTAAGCAGTTTTTTCCATGGACCGCTCTAAAGCTCCCGGGCCCGATGGATTCACTATGGCTTTCTACCAAGAGTGTTGGGAATGGCTAAAGGATGATCTGATGCGAGTCTTTGTGGAGTTTTATGATGGGGGGATTGTCCGTAAAGGGGTAAATGCCACTTTCATTGCGTTGGTTCCCAAGAAATCTGGTGCCTGCCACCCCAAGGATTTTAGGCCAATCAGCCTGGTGACAAGTCAGTATAAAATCCTTGCAAAAGTCCTTTCTATTCGGTTAAAAAAGGCCCTCCCGTCAATCATATCTCATTTTCAAGGGGCCTTCATCCAAGATAGACAAATTTCAGATCAAATACTCATAGCCAATGAGTGTGTGGAGGATTTCAAGGTAGCAAGATGGAAGGGCATTGTGTAAGCTGGATCTAGAGAAAGCCTATGACTTGGTGGATTGGGAGTTCTTAGTTGAAACTTTGAGGAAGTGTGATTTTGGGGCAAGATGGTGTAAATGGATTAAAGGATGTCTTCAATCTTCCATTTTTCGGTGTTGGTGAATGGTGCAGTTAAGGACTTCTTTGGTGCACTAAGAGGTGTGAGACAAGGGGACCCTTTGTCCCCTTTCCTCTTCACCATTTTAGCTGAGGTCTTTAGCAGATTGATCTCGAAGGCAGCAGAGGTAGGATTGTTAAGGGGTTGGAAAGTAGGAAGGGTGAGGGTGGTGCTAACTCATCTACAATTTGTGGATGACATCATTATCTTCTGTGAGGCTAGTGATGAGTTAGGGGCAAGAAATCTGAGAATGTTGGTAAAACTCTTTGAAAAAGTGACAAATCTAAGAGTGAATCTCCACAAGAGCCAGGTGGCAGGGATCAATTTAGCACCAAAAGAGATTAATGTTTGGGCTGAGGAACTAGGATGTTTAAGCGGTGAGTGGCCACTCAAGTATTTAGGGCTCCCCCTTGGTGCAAATCCCAGAAGCATAGATTATTGGAATCTAGTTGTGGAGAGGTTTGAAAAGAAACTTGTGGTGTGGAAGAGGAAATATATCTCTCTGGGGGGAAGGATTACTCTTATCAAGCATACCCTAGCAAACCTTCTAGTTTACTACCTCTCGGTGTTTAGTTTGCCTCAAGCTGTAAGAAAGAAATTAGAGAGAATAATTAGGGATTTCTTGTGGGAACCGGGCGAGAAGAAGAAAGACCATTTAGTAAGATGGGATCTTGTAACTAGGAGGAAAGAATTTGGAGGATTGGGGTTAGGAAGGTTGAAGGAAAAGAATGAGGCTCTACTAGGAAAGTGGTTATGGGTTCCCATAAGAAACAGATAGGTTGTGGCACAAAATTGTGACTAGTATTCATGGGCTCTCTGAAAATGGTTGGGATGCTGGAGTGTCTTATAGGGTTTCCAATGCTTCACTATGGAAAGCGATTCACAAACTCCTCCCGTTGTTCCTCAATCATGTCAGGTTTGATCTAAACTCAGGTAACAAAGTCAAATTTTGGGAAGATGTTTGAGTGGGTGACTCTTCTTTAAAGACTTTATTCCCTTCAGTTTTTGCTCTATCCCACTTTAAAGGAAAACCGGTTGCTGATTTCCTGTCCCCCTCTCCCTCGCAATCTGGGTATGCTTTGAACCTGGGTCTCCACAGAAATGTGCATGACTCCAAGTTGGATTTGGTGTCTACTATTATTCAGTTGCTTGATGGGATTTGTATAGATTCTACCAAGCAAGACACTAGAATTTGGATTCCTAACCCCCTTGGTAAGTTCAGTTGTGCGTCCTTCTTCAAAGCTTTGACTTCTTTTCAACCTGGGGTCCATTTTCCATTCCGTGAAGTCTGGTGTCGCCCTATTCCCCCTGAAGTGGGTGCCTTTTGTTGGGAAGTTTACCATGGTGCAATTAACACCTGTGATCTGATGCAGAGGAGGAGGTCTGGCTGATGCCTTTCACCTAATTGGTGTTGTTTGTGTGAACCTAATGGTGAAACTGCTCTTTACATTTTTGTTTCCTGTCCTGTAGCTAGCAGCATATGGGAGTAGTTCTTTTCTCTCTTTGGTTGCAGGTGGGATACCCCGGTGAGCCTGGGGAGTTTGTTTGAAGCCTCCACTTTCAGGTGGCCAAAGAGAAGGGGGAAAACCTTATGGAGATGCACACAGGTAGCAGTACTTTAGATGTTATGGGAGGAAAGAAATCTGAGGATTTTTGAAGGGAAGAAAAGGTGTAAGGAATTACTGATAGAGGGGATTATGTTAAAAGTGGTTTCATGGGTAAAATCAATCAAGTCATTCTCAGACTTTACTGTGAATAATATAATCAGGAACTGGAGGACTGTATCTTCCTCATCATCAGCTAAAAAGAAGGTAGTAAGAAGCTGGAATCCTCCTGAAGCGGGATTCGTCAAATTAAACTTTGATGGGAGCAGTTTTGGCAACCCGGGCATGGCTGGTATTGGTGGGGTCATTAGAGATGACAGGGGGAATGTAGTGGGGCTGTTTTCCAGCCCTATTGGGTGGGGAGACTCCATTACAGCTGAACTAAAAGCCCTGGTTTTCGGTATACAAAAGGCCCCGGAAATAGGTGTAAGGAAGTTAGAAGGCGACTCCAAAGTGGTGATAAGCTGGCTGAAGCAGGATGGAAAGGCTCCATGGGTATTCAGAAATGAGATTAAGAAAATTAATCACTCCACAAAGGATATACAGGTTTTATTTCAGTGGACTCCAAGAGCAGCAAATGGGTTTGCGG